TTCTACATACGACATAGTTTATATACATAGTTTCTTTAAACTTTCTTCTTAAAGTAGTTATATCTCTGCAAGTTTTTTTGTTAAATTTATGATATTTTGTTTCAAATAATATAAAACCGGACTTTGTGCCAGTTTTGAACAAAAACTTGGCAGAACAATTCATAAAATTGGTTGTGCGCTTCACAGCAATGGGTTACCTTTGCGCTATATTATAGAACATCTCGATGACAGTACAAACACTCCAACAAAGCTGCTGCACATGATCATCATATTAAACCAATTGCCAAATTTGAACCTGTTTTTAGTTGTTTAGTTGTTCCAGAACAGAGTGTGATCAATGACTTTAGTTCTGATCAAAGGTTATTGCTCGAATATGTGTGTGGTATAAGTTCAGGTAAGCACAATTTAAATAAACATAAAATTTAATCTGTAGTTTAAATTCATATACTTACTCTTATTTGTTACTCTAATTTTAATTTATTGTCAAAAGGAAAAAATATATGTAAATTTATGTGCTATAAATCCCATGTATGCTAATTATAAAGATGGTCCGGTTAATCATGCCAGATGGCTGACATTAGTAGTAGTAGTAGTATTGTATTTGCCGATTGAAAATAATTTACACTCGTAATTTATAAAAACAAGTATTTACATGACTGGGGCGTGAAGAAGACAAAATTCATCTTATCATTAAGCCCCCCCAAAAAAATGCATATTCATCAAATAAAATATTTTAACAAAATATAAAAAATAAAATATATAACGTTTAAAATATTTAGTAATTCAAAGAGTATTTATATTTAAGAACTGATTAGTAAAATAAGATGATATATAAGTATTAATATTACAAAAAGAATTTACAATAACTTTTTTTAATAAAAATTGAAATTATAAAATTTTACAATATTTTTAGTAATTAGTATTTCAAATAATAAAACTTAAAAAATCGTTTGTAAATTCAAAACTTATAAGATAAGAAATACATTTACAATAGCAGACTATTGTTTAGAATATTAAATATAATATTAAAGAGTAATTAGTAGGTTAATTTTTGTTTTTGTTTGCTAGTTTAAAAAGCTTTTTAGAAGAACTTTAATTCATTTTCATGTATCATCAGTAATTGCTTAAGTTTTGTTTTAAACTGGTTTAAAGAATAATTAGATTTCAGCTCATTATTTAATATTGTATTCCACAGCTTAGGACCTCGATTTGCAATTGAGAATTTGGTTGCTGAATAATGTGTTTTGGATTGAATGTAATTGTTTTTTGAAAATCTGGTAGGGTATATGTGGTTTATTTTTTCAAAAAGTGAATTAAATAACATTGGTGATATTTTTTTATCAAGTTTAAACATGAAGATAAGAATATGGTAAAGGTTTAGTTTATATACATTTAGAATATTAAGTTTATTAAATAATGTTTTAGTGTGAGAGAAACGGTCTACGTTTGTAATTATCCTTAAAGCCTGTTTTTGTTTACTAAACAGTTTTTTTACTTTTGTTGCGTTTGTGCTGCACCAAGCAACGTTTGCATAATTTAAGTAGCAATGAATTAAAGAAAAATATAAGTTTTTTAAACAAGATAGATTTAAAAACTGCTTGGCTTTATACAAAACACCTATATTTTTTGATATTTTATTTTCAATTAGACCTATGTGGTCCCTCCAGGTTAAATTTTCATCCAGAACCACACCTAAAAACTTTATTGATTGCTCTCTTTTTAATAATGCGTTATCAATAAAAAGATCAGGAAGTTTTAATGGAATATCTTGTTTTTTATGAAGACGATGGAACAAAGTGTATTTGGATTTATTGATGTTCAAAGATAGTTTGTTTGATTTGAACCATTGGGTTAATTTTTCAAGTTCTTTGTTTACTGTTTGAAATAATTTACTGATATCTTTACTAGAATAAAACAAGTTTCTATCATCTGCAAACAAAATTAAGTTTAAAATGTTAGAAAATTTATATAAGTCATTAATATAAACGAGAAATAAAAGTGGTCCTAAAATTGATCCTTGAACACCACAGGTGATTGACTTATATTCCGTTTTTCCGCTATCATATGAAATAAACTGCTTTCTATTAGTCAAGTAACTATCAAACCAGGACAAATTAGTATTTATTATACCATAACTTTTCAGTTTGGATAGAAGGATTTGATGATTGACAGTGTCAAAAGCTTTACTTAAATCGATAAATATACCTAGGGTATACTTGTCTTCATCAAACCCTTTAAATATATCATGAACAAGGTGAGTGATTGCATGATCAGTTGAATGACATGATTTAAATCCAAACTGTTTATGATAAAGAATATTATTAACATTTAAAAAGGAATATAGTCTATTATACATAACCCGCTCTAATATTTTAGAAAAACAAGAAAGAATTGAGATTGGTCTATAATTCGTAACATCGGAAGGATCACCTGATTTTAACACTGGAATTACTTTTGCAATTTTTAGGTTATCTGGAAAAACGCCTTGTTTTAGAGATAAATTAAAAATATGTAGTAATGGAATTGTAATTTGTTTTATTGATTTGATAATGACATTACTACTTATATCATCAAATCCTAAACTTTTATTGGGTTTTAATAAAGAGACTGCGTCTAGTAATTCTTTTTCTGTAAGTTTATAATTAGACATAACATTAAGGTTGGTTGAGGTTAAGTACGAACTAAAGTGTGATTGAGTAGTTGCTATATTAGATGATAAAGTAGGACCTATATTTACAAAAAACTGGTTAAGTGTTTCAGCGACTAAGGATTTATTTACAATTTGTTTGTTATTAAATTTAAGATTTAGAGGAAGTAAATTTCTGTATAAGCTTTTTTCTCCAATTACCTCCTTAATAATATGCCAAGTTTTTTTAGAATCATTTTTGTGCTTTATTAATTGTTCAGAATAGTAACGTTTCTTTGAGCGTTTTAAGATTGACTCAAATAGCCGTTTATAGTTTTTATAGGTAGTTTCATTTTTAAGAGTTCTTTTTTTAAGAAACTTGTTATATAAGCGTTGTTTTTTTTTTTGAAGATTTAAGAATGCCCTTCGTGATCCAAGGGTTTAAAAGTGTTTTTGTTTTGATTACTTTAGTAACTTCTGGGAATGCCTTGTTATAAAGATTAAGAAACTCTGTTAGGAAAATATCATACGCTTTATTGGCGTTTAGATTTAGTTTTAGGGTGTCCCAGTTAACACAGGATAGAAGCTTATAAAAATGAATAATAGAATTGTCGGTTATTAAACGTGTTTTAATTATTTTTTCCCGTTCATTTTGGGCATTATATATGCATTTTTGCGATAGGATAAAAATCGGAAAGTGATCAGACACGTCAGTTTTAAATATTCCTGTTCTTATATTTTTATTTATAAATTCATTTGTTATAATTTAATCTAGGGATGTTGAACTTTCCTTAGTTATTCGCGTTGGTTTATTGATTAGTGGAATATAGCTATTTTGAAAAATGGTGTTAAAAAAGTTTTTAATATATATATTTTTTTCATAATCTAATATATTGAGATTGATATCACCAATAAAATATTTTTAGCATTAAAATTTTAGTTTTGTATTTAAGAACAGAACAACCTACTTCAGTTCTTAAAGAAATTGTAAAGTACATACAAACAGAGTATGATCCTACTTGGTTTGAAATTTAGAAATCTAAATAAAGAAAAATTTTTTTTGCCGACTAACTTATCTAAAATAATAAAAAAAAGGTCCTCGTTTTCCGATATTTGCCAATTGCCAACTATAAATCCAATATTATCGACTCTAGTGTCCAACTTACCGACTAATAAAATTCGTAGGGGGACAAGACACCTCTACGCCCCCCTCCTCGGGACGGCCCTGGATCTTCTAGCTGCCCCAGTTGATAAAATCTATGGTGGCATTAGAGTAAATAAAAATTTCATAAAATTGTTCATATATTCCAAGGCTTTTTTATCTTCAACTTTATACATTTTCAAGGTTTTATGTTTAACTGTTGGGGATCAAATTCTGCTTCCCTTCTTCTCTTACCATTGGTTGCTGCTGTAATGTGTTATATAGCAAATAATATATAGTATATTTAGCATATTAAAATGTTTTATTACTAAAAAAAGTAGTTAATAGACACAAACTAAAATTGAATTAAAAGTAAAACCGCAGATTTTCATTTCAAGGAAAAATATCGACTGTATGTTATGCGGTTTTTAAATGTAACTTTATTGATAATTAGAAATTTTTGTTAGCGATTTGCTTGTTGTAATATGACAAAACCATTCCTATTTTAAACGAGGAAAGAGCTCAAAAAAAAGTCTTTTTCTCGTAAAAAAAACTGGAAAGTTATAAAATCACACTTTTCTCAATTGTTACATAAATTTTTTTTAAACTGATATTTTTACTGAACTTTGATGGTGATGGTTTCAATTTTCTGACACGAATTTCTAACTATCTGAGGGCACAGCAAGTGAAATATTTAAAAAAAGTAAAAAATCAACATGCCTTAGGAAAACAGCGAAACTTTTAGGATAAACTGACAACGTCCTAATTCTAGCCACACTGCAAAAGGCGTTTTGTGAAATTCACAAAAAATTTGGTTACTTTAACAAAAACATTTGGTGAATATTTATGCATCAAATGTTTTTGTTAAAATAACCAAATAATTTGGTAAAATGTATTTTGTAAATTTTACAAAATGATTTTGTAAATTTTACAAAATGATTTTGTAAATTTCACAAAATGATTTTGTAAATTTCACAAAATGATTTTGTAAATTTCACAAAATGGTTTTGTGAAATATTTTTCACCAAATCCGTTTGGTGAAATTTACCAAAAATATTTGGTGCATAAATATTCACCAAATGTTTTTGTTGAAATAACCAAATATTTTGGTAAATTTCATTAAAATTGCTTTTTTTTTTTGCGTGTAAAAAAACCAATAAATTTTCTTTGATTTCGAAGACAAAATGGAACTTTCTCTCAAAAACTAAAGTTTAGGTAATATAACTCTAAAAAAACATAATATTTACATTTGTTTTAACTTGTATTATTACCGCATCTACAAACATTTTTTTTTTTAACGCATTATGCAACTATACAGTCTAAACTTATAACAATTCAAGACAGTCAATTAAACTTATAAACTCAACTCAGAAGCCAATTCACTTGCTTTCGGGCATGATACGTCAAAATCAGGGCAATTAAAACAATATATATATATATTTGCAAAAACATCCAAGCTGGAAAACTCTAATATTGTATTCCTTATCCAAGATCTAAAGACAAAAAATTGAGAATGATAAAAATTCTGTATACAGGAATGCAAATATTAGTAATAACATTAAATTCACTTGAATCAGTTTAAACGAAAAATCCATTGCTTTCAAAGGGGTTTCAAATGACCATCTGTGATTGTTGTACACAACAACAGCGATGTTTGGTGGAACAGCATAAACCAAAGGTTGAAGTGTCAGCTTCAGGTCATTATATAAGATCCTGATGTTATTAATTGATTGCTCAGCATTTTCAACTGACTGAAAAAATAAAGAAATAATAATAATTAAGCAATACAAGTAACAACTTAGTTATTATAATAATTTTTATATTTAATAAATTTTAGTGTCTTTGAATAATAACTATTGAATAAAAACTTTTGTATTTTATTTATATTTAATTTACATTGGCTAAAAAAAAAGAAATGATTCGCCACATTCTTTAACTCTAGGAGTTCAGGATTTTCTCTTTGCTTCTTTGCATAAATGGATGGAACATTTGCAGCATGTCAATCGCACAATAGCCAAAAGAGCAGCTGTCTCATCTTCTACCCCTATATTATATATATATATATATATATATATATATATATATATATATATATATATATATATATATATATATATATATATATATATATATATATATATATATATATATATATATATATATATATATATATATATATATATATATATACATACATACATTTATATACATATGTGTGTGTGAAAATTATTTGCTTAAAATATCCGGAAAAAATCTGGAATTTTTTCCCCCTTATTTTCCTCTTAATTTTCTTTTAGCTGAGTTGTATCTCAATTTTTTTGAGAATTTCTTTAATTTTTGTATGAGTGATGACTAAAAACCTTAAAAATCAAATATATTACACAAATATATACTTAAACTTGTATGTATAGAAAACCTTTTGGATAAAACTGAAAAAACGGAAAAACTAATCTTGAAAAATATCCGGAATTCCGGGAATATCTGGAAAAAGATAATCCCTGATATATACATATATAATACACATGAATGTATAAATATATTTTTTCCATTGTCAGTTAGGTGTATGAACATAGGTAATTTTCCGCCATCTTAAAAAATGTCTGTCTGTCAGATTGCCGACTAAGCTGTCATTGATATATGTATGCTTATCATATTATGCTACTGTGATATATGTATGCTTATCATATTATGCTACTGTGATATATGTATGCTAATCATATTATGCTAATCATACTATATATGCTAATTAATAAACTTTTATTAAAAATAAAACACTAACCATCTTGCATGGAATATTTTTTGGCAACTAAGCCTATCAATTTTTTTGCATGTAGTCGAATTTTTTGAAACATAAAGTTGCTACAATGCTCATAATTCTTTTGCATATTCAATTGAGTAAAATCGATATTTACCTATAAAAGGTAAGATATTATTTTGCATTTCTGTGGCAAACATTTAGTATGTGAAATATGGACATATGAAATAACACATAACAAATATTTAAAATACTTACCGATGCATCTGCTTTTAGATCCAAAAGAAGTTTAAAATTTGGAATGTCTTTGGTGCCAGATTGAAAACATTTCAACCTAAATTTTGAAGTTGATTTCCATTTATGGCACACTTCAGTCCATGGTTGACTATTAAATTTAAGCCAATTAAGGTTATCTTGAATTGCTTCTTCTATATAATTTTTTTAATGTTTAAAAATAAAACTAATAAAATACTAAAACTTTCTCCATTATATGATAAAAAATTGTGCAAAGATTTATACATTTTATCAAAATACAATTTATCAAAGAAAATTTTAATAATTAACATAATGATATATAAAATTTTCTAAAAATATAAAACACAATATACTATTTATAATAACTAAACTATCTTATAAAGCATACCATCGCTACTATCATGTTCTTCATTGTTGGCCGTTAGAATTTTTTAAAATACCCACTGATTTAATATTTCGCCATATGTTGCGAAGCTTCTAGGACAACTTTCCACCAGCTATAGTTTTTTTACTCGTAGGAGCAGTATACCATGTTTCCTAATACAGAAGATATTAAACATATATATCACTAACAACGATTTCGTTAAAAATCATATAGATCACATCAACTCATAAAGTTTATAAGTTACTTACAAGCTTTTCTGAGGGAAAATGTGTAACAATGGCATTTGCTGATTCACAGACATCTGCATTAGTCGGATGATTTCTACAGAAAAATTTAAAAAGAATTTATATATTAAAAATAATTTTATCAAATTTTCATATACATTTGCTTTACTACAATGTTATAATTTTATATTTGTAACTTTAGTAATAAATAATAAGTAAAGACAATAAAAAATAAAACTAATTTTGAAAATCTAATAACTTATTACTTACTGCAATCCTTTCTTTTGAATAATATGGTTGACTACTATTCTAGCCAACTTGCTGCGTAAACTAAAGGTTAGATTTAAAGCACTTAACACAATAATCCCATCTGTGCAAGAATTCAGGATCGGGGCTAAACCATTCTATTAAATTTATAAATAATATTTAAGTGTTACTAAACAAAATATAATTTATAATTAAAATCATAATACTTATGATACAAATGATATGTTATCAATAATGCAAATTAAGTATTATAATATTTTCTTTAACAGAATTTATAAAAATAGTTAAACATTATAAAGAAAAATATTTCAAACCTCAAAGAGAGTACTGTTTTTATGATGAAGTACAGTTTTTGATGCAAAAACTATTTTACCAGCTGTATCTTGAAATGGCTTAGCTTGTTGTATACACTGTTTCTTCAATGGGCTTGTTACCTTTCTATTGTCCAAACTGAAGTCTATTTCACTTCGGCTCAAAGTAGCTGATTCTATAATCAAATTCACATAGGTTGCATTATTCACATAGGATGCAAACAGTATTACTAGTATTGCGAAAGTGAGGAACATTATTACATAAAAAAATCAAGTGTTTAAGTATTTTTGAAAATGTTATTTTGAAAATGCCTCTTTTAAATCTTTTATTATTAATATGTAAGACAAATACCAAAGCTAGCATATCCGTTTTCTTTCTTATAGTATTGGGGTTCAAATAACACGATTGACATACTGAGAGCGGCTAAATATTATTCATAAACTATTAGGTATATTTTTGATAAAAATATTATGTATATAATATTAAAAACAAAAAAACGAGTAACATGTAATTTGGTGATTTGCTATTCGTAACTTTTACCACTTTTACTGTTAGGTGAATTTTTAAACACATGACAAAAAAGTATAAAAAAATAACTGTACTGGATAACGTGTTTAGTATTGCATTGCTCTTAGAGAAATGAGCTAACTCAATATCTTCAACAAGATTCAAATTGTCTTCCACTAAAGTATACAAAATTGTGTTATATGTAATATTTCCATAATTATTTAGAAATGTTATAATATAAAAATACTTGTTTAAAATACCTTTATGTAAAACTGGTGCATGATCACAATAGGCACACAAATCAAAACCTTTCTCTTTTGTGTATTCATCACAATCACATCCTGCTTTGAGACATTGCATTCTACTTCTCCCTTTTTTATCCTTCATTTTTAATAACACTATAAAAATGAGGAAAAATAAAGTAGAAAAACAACTTTACTTAATCATTTTATAATCAAGTTTTTTATTTTATTATATAAAATTATTTAGAAAAAACAACACTAAATGAATAAGGAAACCGATAAATGAAGTAATGTAAATATATCATTTTAGAAGTTATAGCAAAAATAATACTTATCTATAATATAATAATTTTGTGGGTTATATATTATAATATAAAATAATATAATTTATTGTTTTTAAATAAATAATTAACATCAGTTCACTAAAAAAAAAACAAATTACATCTACATTTGTTTAAAACTTAGAGAAACAAAAATAAGAGCAGGATTGAAAAGTTCGTTTTTTCAAAAGGAAAGTAACCTTTGCAGACTAAAATAGAAATGAAAAAATCTAAAAATGTTCAGATGAATTCAGATGGCAATAATATCTTACATACTACTTATAAAACTTATTTAGTTTAAGGTAAAGACATTGTTTAAAGAATTTCAAATTTTTTGTTATAACAATTGAAACTTGTTTCCTTGAAGGTACGTATAGTTCCTTTCATGACACAAATTTAGAATGAGTATAACTAAAAATTTAGAATGCTACTAACAATGTCTTTACTCCAAATTAAATAGATATAATATCTTTTTAATTTGGAGTAAAGACATGGTTAGTAAAATTTATAGGTAGTATGTCATTTCTCCTTTGAAAAACAAGACTTTTCAATTTTGCCCTAAAGAATATAAAATACTTACACAAATTTTTTTTATTAAAAAGAAAAAAATTAAATAAATTTAAATGCTACTAAGTTAAATGCTGCCATGATCAATAGTTATATTTTGTGCATTAATGACAAGTATTTACTTTTATTTAAATTTCGTAGTTTTAACGGCCAAGGTGAGATAATGGTATCAAAGTGAGAGCAATTTAAAACAATTAATTCTGTTTCAATGTCAACCTCAAAAGATTGTAAGTGATAGCATTTAGTTATAATAAACAACTTTTGACAAATAAAATAAATTAGTATCAGATACGAAAATTTGTTTGATTAGACAAAATGCAGGATATAATTCTTCAACTGCATATATAACAACATCACCAATTTTAAAGCTAACAAAGTTAACAGAAACACACTTTGTCTGGAAAATTTCTCTGTACAACCCATAATTACCAATCAACTCTGATATAGTTTTTCCATCAATCACATGTCATAGTAAAATAGGTTCAGTTTTAGTAACACAAAATTCATTATTTTTTAAGCCATATTTTGCCATGAATCGAGTTGACTGATCCATTTGGTGTCTAATAGCTACTGTTTTACAAACATTTAAAAAATTTCCTACAGACGAATCAGTTCTCTTAAAACCTCTTAATTTACCTTCGCAACGCATTACCCACATATGACTTAGCAGGCCAAGCATTTTAATAATACGTGGGTAATGAATAAGGTTATGAAACTTTAAAGTTAAGCCACACTTAAATGCAAAACAGTATTCTTGTAAAAATTCAGTAATGAGAGAACCAAAATGTAATAAATCAGGTTTGCTAAAATACAAACCAAATGAGTAAAGGACAATCTGTCTTAACAATAAAAAAACAACACAAACATTGTCTTCAAAAGGAACTAAATCTCCAACTAATAAAGGAAAGCTTAAAAACCAAATTTAGCATTTCAATTGCACAAATATTAATTGAACCATTTTTTATTTGATACTCAGTGGGACATAAAGGAATTGATGAGTGATCATATGAAAAATTTCTCATTCTGCTATTTATGTCACCTAGATTAAAGAACTTTTTCTGAAATACTAGATAGTTTAACATTTTTTGAAAAACATGTTTACAATAAAAATTATCATTAACATGAAATGATGGAATTTTATTAAAGCAACACTTTTCCTTTATACCATTTAGGAAACAATTATGTAAAGAAACATCATAATCATAACATTCTCTAGTTCTAAGTAATTCAACAGATTCAACAAAAATACTGTCAAAGTCTTTACGTTTCATTTTGCATATTCTGCATGGGTATTTTGCAGTAAAACTTTCTACATAACCTAATATTCTATTTAAACCAAGATTGAGAACAACATATATTTTAAATTCATTGCCATCTATTTTTATAGTAAAACCTTTTGTTTTTAAATTCTGTCATTTTTTCTATGTATATAGAAAATGCATTTTTATTTGAATACTTAATGTGATCAGAATTATATATAACTGCACTTAACAAAATATTCTCAAGTTTTGAATTATGTAGTGGTTTTAAACATTTTAGAATTGTACACAAAGCTCCAATTTTGTGAACAGTGCTATGTGAACCTAATGGATTAGCAGTTTCTAAATCATCAAAAAAACAAAAAACTGGAATTACAAAAGTATTTTGGGAATGAGCATATTGACGGCGTAATTGGTGATTTTGCCACAACTCTCCATCTTTAAAATCTGAAACTAAACCATTAGTAGATGGTTTTGTATTACTTCTTATTTCATCAAGTACACCAGGAAGACAAAGAAAAACTTCAAGACACTGCTTTAATGAAACATATTGCCCTGTTGCTATACAAGTTGAGCAAACTACTCCTTTAGCTGTTTTTTGAGTGTTTATAAAATGACCTATTGGGTATGATTTTGGTTTTATATAATACCCTTTCTTTTCAAAATAATTTGTTTGTTTATGCAAACTTTCTAAGCCTTGAAAAGGTTTTTGGAGGCGGAAGATATTTTCAAAGAAATTATTATATTCATCTTTTTTGGAGACCATGCTTGTCAAATATTCCTTGGGTCTCATTACTAATTCCTGTTACAATTGATGACACAAAGTCTGAACATGCATCAACAATTTTCAATGTAGTGGTTAGGGGTATATTAGAATAACTTCTTTGTTTAGAAATGAAATAAGCGGAACCTTCAAATATACCATCGGTTTCATCAAATTTTATACCAAATTTTAACATCTGGGCAAACAGGTTCGGTATTGTGAACAGCTAGAGACAAGTTATTTGAATGGAAACATCGTTGCATAGTATCTGCTTCTTCTAAAGTAGGTCCTTAAATAACTTCTTGATGAGATTTTTCAATATGTTTTGAAAGACTTACATTCCACTTCCGATGCTTCAAAAACATAATTAAAATATTTAATAAACTTTTTGTCTCCGTAAACTCAATGTTTGGTATTTTCAAAGTTGGAATCACAAGTTAGAAAATAGTAACTGTGGTTCTCTAGAAAACCACAGATGCTAATTTCCAGTAAGGCAGCTAAGCAAGATTCAATCGAGCACTTTTAAACTAACTGTATTTTAACAAGTGTTCGATTTTATATTTTTTTATTTATTTTATTTTTTCATTTCAATACTATGGTAGTAAAAAAAGTTCTGGAACTTATAAAAATGTAACAGAAACGTTATGTGAGCCACAAGATGTAGAAAAGTTTAAAACTTCTGCAACAGAAAGTGAAGATTTTAACAATGGATTAACTTTCTTCTTTGGGTGTTTAGAAGAGTGTTTTTAAGAATTTTTTAATTCATTTAAGAAATGAATTATAGGAAATGTTTTTTAAAAATAGCTTTTTTTTACTTAGGAGATGTAGAAGATCAGATTAGATGCATGAGAAGTAAAACTTTCTATGCATGATTCCTTGAGATTACAGAAAAGTTATAATTTTAGGCAGAGTAATGAAATTCAGCATCTAGCAATCATAAAAAAGAAAATCATGCAAAGAGTTCCAATCAGTTTTAAGGTAGTTGTAATGATATGGGTAAATTTGAAAGAAGGCACAAACTCTTATCAGAGATAAAATACAATCCAAGGAGTTAAGTTAACTAGTTTAGATTTTCTGTAAAATGAATCATAAATTAGGAAACTAGGAAAACTCATTAGGAAACTCAAAAAGATAAAAGGTTTTACATGAAATTCCCAATACGAAAAAGCACTTGCAGATAAATAAAGAAAATTCATGAAAAAAAATTAACAAGACTGCAGCTTGGAGTGAAGCAGTATGTCAAAAGAACTAAGGGAAAAGTGATTAGTGGTACAAAACAAATGCGCATAAAAGAATTTTTAGAATATTCAAACCTAATTTTAGGAATGAATCTAGTCACTAAATTGAAACATACGTGTATTACCTTGCCAATACATCACTGTTGGGGCCAACGGGTTTTAATAGAACAATAAGTATTATTAAAATATAAAGAAGAGAAATACAAAACAAAATGGCAGCCATAAAAATAGGGACAACAAACAACTGCGGAACTGGAATGGTGGAACCATTAGCACAACAACACGCAAACCAACTGATAAAACAACAGGTGGATCAACTAGGGCAACATCATGTGAAACAACATGACCAGCAAACTTAACAAAATAGCAAAAAATCAACCCAGAGAATAAGCTAAAAATGAACAGTTAAAGACAGTATTCTCTTTGATAAAATAATATAAATACTCTCTGATTAAATACCTATATAATGAAAAATAGAAAAACAATTTATAAAATGAAAAATAGAAAAATAATTTATAAAATGAAAAATAGAAAAACAATTTATAAAATGAAAAATAGAAAAACAATTTATAAAATGAAAAATAGAAAAACAATTTATAAAATGAAAAATAGAAAAACAATTTATAAAATGAAAAATAGAAAAACAATTTATAAAATGAAAAATAGAAAAACAATTTATAAAATGAAAAATAGAAAAACAATTTATAAAATGAAAAATAGAAAAACAATTTATAAAATGAAAAATAGAAAAACAATTTATAAAATGAAAAATAGAAAAACAATTTATAAAATGAAAAATAGAAAAACAATTTATAAAATGAAAAATAGAAAAACAATTTATAAAATGAAAAATAGAAAAACAATTTATAAAATGAAAAATAGAAAAACAATTTATAAAATAAAAAATAGAAAAACGATTTCTAAAAACAAAACTTTAATTTGATTTAATCTTTAAAATAAGAAAATTATTTTTTATTGAAAAAAAAAAGGAATAACCTTTAGATTTTTTGTCTAAAAAAACAAAGAACAACGAAACAAGTCAGT